TGTCTTGTTTATATAGCATTGAAAATGTTGAACGTTGGAGCAATAACCTTGATTCAATGCCAATAACAAACTTTCCTTATTAAGCAGATCTTGTCTGGAATGATGCCGTTGGTAATAATTCGCCTTGAATGCACATTATCGTTTCTACTTAAAGCGTGTTCTGGCTTTGGCTCATTCTGACTCTGCTTAAGTGCTGATGAACTGTTGTTGTCTTTATCAGAGTGTTGAGCGCAGTTCTGTTCATCAAGCTTCAGCATACGCGTGAGTTGTTCTTCTGATTCTGGTATTCTGATATAGCATCTTCTGATGCTGATGTTGATAACCAATATTATGATGCTGATTAAGTGTACTCTTGCTGATACCTCTCAGAGTTTCTGCAAAACAGACGGTAATATTTTAGGTAGCAAATAGTTCTTACATGAATCACATAATTAATATATCATTTCATTTTTGTTATCATCAAAACTTAAACTTAGGGTAGTAGATTCAAACTTTGTTCTAACAAACAATACCCAACAAGTATCATCATTTCACCTTTGTCAGCCAACTTCCTTCTAAGTTGGCCAAGAACATGTCGATATGCCATGAAACCGAAAATTCTCAAATGGTTTAGATTCATTTTGAATCTAAAGCATGCCTCTTCTGGAGTTATCTTCTCAAGCTTCTTTGTAGGACTCCTATTCAGCAAATAGGAAGCCGTGGAAACCGCTTCTCTCCACAACTCTTTCTGCAAGTTCTTTCCCTTTAACATGTTTCTCACCATGTTCATTATAACACCCTTCTAAACCCTAAAGAATATTCTCAAAATAATTCACTAATTATATCATAGTAGTGCACCAAAAAGGGTGTCACATTGCTTCAAACAAACTTCATAGTAAAACATATCATGCTCCGTAACACAGATTTTCAAAAATCAATTATGTTAAGTACTCCATGATTGACATCCATAGTTTTTCGACTTACTCGCAGCGAAAATTCATAATTCATAAAATATTTATTAAGGTACTTCAAAACAACTTCATCAAATCAAAACAACTCAATACCATAAGGGTAGTTCAAATCTCAAATTAAACAAGGTAACAAGATGATTCAAAATAAACGATCTCAGCCTCGATGTTACATATTAGAGCAAGATCCCTTTATTCTATAGTAAATAAAGAACACACTCCGCGGCTACACACTAAGCCTCAGTGAACTATTCTTGATTACCTGCAAGTTATCCACGTATAGAGGCAACATTTCCAAGCAGCAAGAGTGAGTAAATCATAATCATTATAAAATACATAAGGAGTAAATATAGTAGTTATTATACAACATCCAAGAAATACGCCATCAAAACCTCATGTCATACTCATACCTTTAAGTATCATAATACGCATCAGACGTATGGTAATACCATCAATTAACAATTATCACAAACACACATTCACGAAACATCAGTCAATTAATTCATCATGCAATGCCACATATAATTCAATGCAACTTATTTAGATTCATGCATGTGGTACTAAAACTTTACTAATGACACCATCATCGTTTTCTCAAAGATCCCCACCAATAGAATCGATTCCCGCTTAGAACCAGAGCACATCATAATTTGCACTCAATCCATACTATGATATTGAGGCCATCACTAGACTATTCGTCCTGTAAAACTCACTGGAACAACATCTTGCAACCATCACTGGGATACGCCCTAACATATGCCAGGAATGCATGATGTGAAACATCTTAATAACCAAATGACCACTTCTAATCAAAACGCATCATCATTCATATAATCATCGTAAATATCAACACATACTTCATAACACAAAATAACATCATCATAGCATCAACAATTAATTGTATACACATACATCATACTAAAACAATCACCGAATCATCTTATTAATCAAAGCATAGGTACTAGAAAAACACATCATACGACTATTTTTATTCCACCAAAGTATAGTTCATCGCGTTATCTTTCTAAAGATTCGAACGCTGCATCAATAAAAGTCCTGAAACTCAAGTTATAACACTTTTAAAATACTAATGTTGTCTATCGTCGGGTGCTCACCCGACAAAGCAGGATGCTCGTCTAAGGCTCGCCCGACGATGAGGGAGCGACACCACCACCATTCTTCTCTGGTCTCCATCGACCGACGCTGCATCTCGTTCGCTCGAAGCTCTCTTCTCGCCTCTATGTTTCCTGGTGACGCTCCAGCAACTGACCACCATCCATACAAAATCCAGAGGCTATGTTTTTACCCCATCCCATCGCTTCTTGCTCGCCTGGAGCTGCTGGAGCGAGGCTCCATCTCCCGACGACACATATCTATTTCCCGACACTGCAGCACGAACATGAATTCTCTGTTGCCATTTCTGCACTGCACAATCCTAATTTTTACATGATTTCATCATATTACAGGTCACAAATCTTCATAACTCCGCTTGATTTCATCAAATAACAACAACACAAATTATCATACACCACATGCATCATTTCTTTACAAGAAAATATTACAATTTCACTGATTCATCATCAAACATCATAATAACATCATCAACCCCAAACCTCAACACAACCTACAATTATCTAAACCTAAAATCAATTATAATAACAACGATAAATCCCATAACCTTAGATTTCTCCTAGCAATTGATTTTTCTTTGCATTCTATCAAATCCCTCTGAGCTTTTTCGTGCAATAGCCCTCTTCACAATATTATTCTCTTTTCACGATTGCACAGAATGAGACTCTCTTCCCTCTATTCCTTGTTTAACCTTTGGACCCTTTCTATGGTCTTGCCATCTTGCCCTCACTTATTCATTTACAATTTACCACTTTCTCCCTAACATCTGTACACCATATTTTATCTCTATTTAACTAATTAAAATAATTCCAACTAATTATCTAAATTATTCTAACATACTCTATACCTTCTTAATTTCTACCACCCCATCATACACCACAGAAACATCATATCAAGCATCATGTTCATCCATACATCACACAAACATCACAATTAATTCATAAATACTCAATGTAAATTAATCAAATGATTAAATAAATAATCTAACTATCTTGGGGGTGTTACATTCATAATCGATTGATTTTTCCTCTCGACAACATCGTTTTACTGCGGTGTATAGGGTGGTACTACTTCATGTATTATCCCATCTTCATCACAATATTTCCAAAGTCATTTGAGACTTACTCGCCTCCACCATCTACTTTGAGAACTTTGAGCTTGTGACCACTTTGTCTCTCAACCATGGACTTAAATTTCTTGAACACTTCAAATACCTCATATTTTCTCTTGATTAGGCACGTGCATAACTTTCTACTAAAATCATAGATAAAAGTGAAAAAGTATATATTACCACCACACATATCAACTTGCATTGGACCCAGACATCAGAATGCACCATCTTAAGGTGATGCTTGGTTCTATAATTTGCATCCTTGCTGGATTTACTTTTGTGTTGCTTCCCTTGCATACACTCTTCACAAATATCATCTGAAATGTTGATGGATGGCAACCTAGTTACCATATCTTCCTTTGTAATGCATTGAGATCTCTAAAATTGAGATGTCCAAGATGGTAGTGCCACAACCACTCATCTCGACTTGTTGTTGTAGCAAGACACCTATGTTCCATCACTTTCAACTTAATCTTGAAAGTTTTATTGGCAGACATAGGAGCTTTAAGGACCAAAACCCTGTTTGCATCCTTAACACGTAAAGTCTTGTCTTCCATGCGAATCTTGTAACAATTCTCAAGTAATTGACCAATACTTAGAAGGTTACTTTTGATTTCAGGAATCTACAACACATCTTTGATCAACGAATTCCCATCATCCCTTCTCATGATCAAAACATCACTTACCCAGTCGGTCGCTAAAGTGGCGTCATCCGTGAATTTCACTTTATTCTTTGTTGGTAGATTGATTTTGACAGACCAATTCTTCATACCTGTCATATGCGTAGAACAAACAGAATCTGAGTATCACTCTTCACTGCATTGGACTCCTTCTCTCACAATCACCATAACATTTTCCTCATCAAACATTTCTGCAGTGTTTTCAAAATTGCTGTTGCTGTTGCTGCTCGGCAGTTTATACTGATGCATTCTCTTTTTGTGATCATCACCAAGAGCGTTTTTTCATCATCCACCTCTTTTCTAGCAACCTTAGCCTTATCTCCTTGAGATTCTCTCTGTTTTGCATTACAATCTCTTGCAAAACGACCACATTTTTTACCATTAAAGCATTGTGATTTAATCTTGTCAAACTTCTTGGTATAGTTGCCTTGACCACCATCTTTTCACAATAAATTGTGAATCATAATCAAGGCTCTTGATGTCAAATGTTAGAATATATAATTACACAATTGATAAATCAATGGAGATTTAGTGTTTGTAGAGAAGAAGATATATATATATATATATATATATATATATATATATATATATATATATATATATATATATATATATATATATATATATATATATATATATATATATATATATATATATATATATATATATATATATATATATATATATATATATATATAGAGAGAGAGAGAGAGAGAGAGAGAGAGAGAGAGAGAGAGAGAGAGAGAGAGAGAGAGAGAGAGAGAGAGAGAGAGAGAGAGAGAGATAGTGTAATTGAGTGTGAGCATCAAAATTAACATTAAACATGAGATGAGACGCCTTCAAACAACAAGAAAAACTCATTTTTTTTTATGCGTAACCAGTTAACACATCATGTTAACAGATTGCCACTGCTACAACAAAAACAATAACAAATAGGTGTAACCAGTTAATACGTTTGTGTAATTGATTACCACAAAAAAATAACTTATTTGATCTGCATAAGTATTAATTTTCTCAGCTATAACCCGTTACCATCCCATATTAACAGATTACAACACAAATTACTGATTTTCAACTAACAAGGATATTTTTAATAATTTTGCAAGCATTTATTAAGAAAAAAAACAAGAAATGAATAATTATTTCATTAACTTTCACCGACGAAGTTTCAAAAGTATAGCACATATGCATTTTATTCATTCGGGTGTATTAAAGAGTACACCAATATCACCCCGTAATACAACAACAAACATGATTTTGGAAATCAGATGGCAAACATCTACCGCCTTGCTTATATCCGAAAGAATTGCAAAAGCTTATGCACTTTTGTTCATTTGGGCAATTCATGCGGTCGACGCACTTAAATGTTACGGCATCTAAACTAGTTAGGAATCCTGCAACAAAAGTTACGATCAAGTTTAACAAATGCAATAGATTATGATTTCAAATTACAACCATAAAAATAATGTTGCGGTAGCTATACAATTGAATTACACCACAACTTGTTCATCGTTAATTAATGGCAAAAATAAAATTGATGAAATAAAAATAACTTATTCTTATTACCTGAGAATAAAATAAATGTCACGCACAAAATCCCCCAAAACCGAGATTGATTGATATAAGAAGCCATTGAGTATGATTTCACTTTCTGTGAATGCTATTGATGTTTAAACTAAGGTACGCTCTTTTATAATCCTTGATTTCATTTTAGTCAAATGGTTATTAAATGATCATTTAGACCCTCACATTATTATTACTAAAGATATGTTTTTTTTCTTTCTTTTCAATTTTGGGTAATAATATAAAAATATTTTTTTTTAATATTTCTTAAAGAAATATCCGGATTCTTAAATATTTCTAAAAATTCATGATTTTTAATACAAAATAGTTTCTTCTTTTTTTGGGTTAAATTATCTTCTTTTTTTAATTTCCTTAAATTAATTTCTATTATATTCGGTCAAGGTAAAAAACAAATTATGATTATAAATATTTCAAAAAAAATTCTAATTTTTAATAAAAAAATTGTGTTCTTATTTTTAAACAAATTTCAAATTTTTTTATTTAAGTTTTCTTTCTTTAAATCAAGTTCTATTATATTCATTAAATTAAATCATGAAACTAATTCTTTTTAAACAATAGTACAAAATAATATTCAAAATATATATTAAAAATAAAGTTAAATAATGAATAAATAGTACATGATATTTTAGTTTTGAATTAAATAATTAAAAAAATAATATATAATGAATTTTAATGAAATATTCACTTTATGTATATTTTTTCCAGTTTACGATATAATTATTATGTACACATTATTCATAGTTTGATATTTTTTCTTTAATTTTTATTTTTGAATAAAATAAACTTTGTATTAATTCAAAAAGAGAAATAAAGTACAAGGCTCTAGCCCTCAACAATGACAAAAGGAAGACGAAAGACAATCTAAACCATCATGAGTTTAGCTATGTGTTCTCTAGGTTTTCTATTATACAATCTCATGTAAACTATCATATCAATAATATTTTCAGCTATTTTTTTTACTATCAACAATATTACCATAACTTTTATCGTTTCAGTATTTCCATACTCCATATAAAGTTTCAGCAACAACTAACTTCAAGATTGCATGTCTCCAACCTTTTCATTTAGTGGATGAAATAAACCACTCTAATTTATAGTTCCATTCATACGAAACTCTCTTGATTTCGATCCACTCAAGAACTGTAGTCCAGATAATTTTAAGGTCAGAGCAACTATAAAACAAATGACTAATAGTTTTCTTCACAGACAAAAACAACAACAAATATCCTCAACCATACCAAATTTTTTCATTTGGTGTTTAGTTGCCAGCCTCCTATGGCACACCAGCCAAAGGATCACCAAAGCTCTAGGTCTGGTTGTATTCTCTCAGAAAAGATTACGCCATCAAACTTTTGTAGTGAGAGTGCAAATAATATTATAAACATCCTTCATATAAAATTGGTCATTTCCTTGCATACTAACCCATATGGGTTGGGTTTCCTCAATGTTACTCTAATGCTTTAGAATATTATTCATAATCCATGAATTATGATTCTTAATACACATATTCATCATATCATCTTTCCTCAGATAATAGGTATTAACCCACTTAACCCAAAGACTATCAGCCTTACCACTAAGGTTTCAAAGAAGTTTCAACATTGTTAATTTTTTTCAAACCTTAAGATCAATAATATTCAATCCTCATAGTCCCGAGGCTTGCACGCCACATCCCAAGCTACGAGACTCTTTCTACTAATATCCGATCCCCCCGTCCAAAGAAAAGATCTACAAACAACCTCAATTTTGTGGATAACATATATACTTCGGGATAGGAAATCATTGCATCCAGTAATTCACAATAACAAAAGTCACACTCTTGATAAACTAGACCCAACCTGCATAGCTAAAAAAGTTAGTTGACCAGTGGTTTTTACACAGTTATTTGAAACAACAGGTTGAACAATCAACTGATAATGAAATCAATAAAGTCGCCATCGAACTTTTTTTATCCCACAAGAGGGAAAGATAAACATCGAGTAAATCTGATAAGGGTTAAATCAAGGTCGAACGACCAAGAGATAAGGATAAGGGAGTCTGTTACGCGAGGGGAAGATATTAGCACCCCACACGCCCTTAGTACTCTATGGTATCCACTCTTGTTATTCTATCTTATGGGTGTGTTTAAACTTTGCTTACTGTTTACTACTGCTAAAGGGAGAATGCATGCAAAAGAGAGGAGAAAATAATGTAGGGAAAAATAAAAATTATGCTCGCTCGGGCCCTACCTCAATGCCTACGTATCCCTCTTAAGGAATCAGAGCAGCCGTAGTTCGGCTTAAAAGTTTCTGTTGGTTTTTATTTTTTAATGAACAATATTAATTTCGCCTTCTGCCGCAACTCGACCTTTGGAGACTTATGCGTCAACACAAAAGTGAATTAACATGTTCTTTTGAAAAGAGTTTCGAAAGAAAAGCCCGAAAGCAAAAAGAGTTCGTGTTGGTTGGTGTTTTTGCTTGTGGATAATAGCTAATTAATATCAAGCGAGAGATATTAACCATTTCTCTACTTATTCATGATATAAGTCTTTGAGACTTGAACCATATCAAAGCTTAGAATAGGAGAACAATAAGATCGAGAAGAAACCCGCTTATCATTTCCCATGCTCAACAAAGGTATGATTCCGGTTAGTAGTTTTTTAAGTGTTTTTGAAGTTTGAAAGAAAAAGAAGTCTTTTTTAATGCAAATGTAAAAAGAAAGAAAAACATCTAAGGGAGACTAGCCTAAACATATCCCTAATGTTATCATACAATGGTGGTCCTATGGTTGAGTTTTGAAGGGAAATCTCTACCCTAAGTTGACATGCTTGGATTTAGAATCCTATTTTAGTTCAACTAAATCGAATAGGCCACAACGCATATAGGCCTAATAGAATTTGGCCCAGATCCACAACCACTATCACATAACCCAATAAGATTTTTATCCAACATTTACTTATGAAAAAAACAATAATTGAAACATAAATACTTGAAACGCAACGTATGGTCCCATAGGGTTAGGAGAGGGACGTGTGAACTTGTTCTTTTTCCGAGGATCAATCTGCCGCGGCTCTATCTCTTCTGATCATCAAATGGCTGCAGCCTCTTCTACTTCCGCTTTCACTCGATTTCTGCCAGTCATCTCAAATGATCGTCCTCGATCTCACGATCCTAAATTCCCAGAATACTCGGCTTAAGTTTTAGTACATCTGGTACACAAACTCTGCCTCTGAATCTCATAACACCATTCTCATCGATTCTGAAGTCGCCACCTTTACCTTGATGGATTAACACTAACCAGTTAACCAATCCTAATTCAATCTTATGACCCTCTCTGATCTGTTCAATAATATTATTGGTCATCCTCAACATACACAACTTCACACTATTAGAATTTCCTTCACACAACAAACTCAGATCTCTAAATTTCTCGACTAATTCCAACTCTCTAACCACAAACATCAACATGATCAACGACTCCCTGCTCAAAGAATCATCTATAACATTGGGTATACCAGGATGTTAATTCAAACCAAAATTACAGTCCTTCAAAAATTCGAGCTGTGACACCCCAAATTTTTTCGAGTGTTAAATAATTAGGAATTTAATTATTAAATTAATTAAAGGCTTAATTAATAATATTTTGGATTAAATGGATGACTTAATTATGAAATTAAAAAGGAAGACCGGGGGGTGTAAGGTTGAATTAGAGGTGTGTGAAGTAAAAAGCTCTACTAAATAATTACTAATTTATTTCTATTATTTGGAAAATAATAAAAGGAATATAAAAAGAAGGAAAAAGGAAAAGAAAAAGAGGTTATTTGGAAAGAAGTCATTGTACGTGAAATTGGAGAAGAGAAGAGAAGAGAGGAAAAAGCCAAACGTCGTGAATTCGAAGGATCATTGCGAGGTAAGGGGTGATTTCAATTATTTAATATGCCTTATAGATTTTGGGATCAATAGAATTGATTAAGCATGTTAGGAATCTCAATTTAGGATTTTCTAGGTTTGTAGAATTTGTACCTAATTGTGTCAGAGTATAGGAATTGGAACCATTAATGTGATGAATAATTAATAGGAATGATGGAAACATGATTTATGATATTGCATTGGTGTGTATTGGTTGCATTTTGGTGTTCCTAATGTTATAATTCGTATGGGTATGAATTGGATGGGATTGGAATGAATAATGCTGTCAAAATAGCAGATTTTGACTCTGCAGGTCGTGGGAACCGGTTCCCAGTGGGGAGGAACTGGGTTCCACTGTGTGAACGTACAAAAACTTGCAAAATTGGTCGCAGGAACCGGTTCCTGTATAGGTAGGAACTGGGTTCCAGTACATTTTCCAGAAACGTGAATTGTGAACTTCTCAGGAACCGGTTCCTGCATATGTAGGAACCGGGTTCTGCTGTAACTTTTTGAAAAATATTAAACTTTGAAAATTCATAACTTTCAAACCGTAAGTCCGATTTGAGTGCCGTTTTCGGCAGTATTTCTTAAATTAAAAATAATATCTTATAAAATAAGAAAAATATTATTTTATGAAAATTATTTTAAAAAGAGTCGAATTCCCGATTTTTGTAAACTTTGGTATTTTGAGAATGATGTAGAATTGTTTGTAAGTTGTTCTGATTTGGTGAATGAGAACTGATACTTATGTGTTGTGCCTGCTATCCATTATGATTGAGATGTGATCATGTGATATATTGGTTTTGGCATTATTTGGAATTATGTTGTGATCATATTCCGTTGATTTGATGTTGACTTTCCGATTATGCGGTTTGTTATTATGTGCATATTTGGTGTATATGCAATGGT